CCCAAGACGTTTTCTATTATGCATTTCATGAATTTTTGATTTACTGCTAAAAAATTGCTAAATGATGCTCATATCAGATAAAAAATTCTTAGTCTTTTTAGAAAAGCTTGTATGGAAAATTAAAATTATGTAGCTTAATAATGGCTCCATAAACTGGAGAATAGAAACTACTCTTGTAAATCAGAATTATATATTTCAAACACTTGTATATATTATATCCACGACCGTCCACAAATTACAACTTTATTCAATGTGGCTCACAATTTTAATTTTTAACGATAAATTCGAATTTAAAGTGAATAGTTTTTCGCAAAACACATGAACGGTTTTTCTCCACTTTTTTATTCTCTGCAGTTGTAACAATAGCAGTTTAACATTCCAGCACTTTATAAGCAATAACTCGAATGATAACATATGAGAAATAAGGCATTTTAAAAGAGGAATAAATGATTTTGTAAGCAAACGCAATTTGTAGTTCATCGAATAATGGAGAGACAGTTGAACCCTTATTTAACAAATAACATCGAGAAACCAAACGAAGCATAAAAACACTTCGGGAAAATCTCATTTCTCAACTGACGACAAAGCCGAAGATTTTAAGTAATTGAGATTCTTAAATTTCCTCAATTAAATTGCGACAAACTGTTGAGCAAGACTGATTATAAATCTGACATAAAGTAAAAGAAGTTCTGGGAATCTTGGAAATTATAGAATCAAGAGATTATATATATATATATATATATATGTACTCGCGATTTTTTCTTTCTAAAATTAATTAGCTAACTTATTAATAATGGTCATTAAACATGAAAGAAGACTAAATCAGAGAGAGTGAAAACATCATTAGTGTTTAGCTTATTCTAAGGCAATGCGGAATTTTATTAACCTTTTAAATTATAACTTTTTATTTTCTGAAGCGCTTTTATATCAATTATGATTGCTGGCAGAATAAATTGAATTTATGACAATTTGCAACCGTAGCTAAATGCTTTACTGGATTTCATTAAAGGAGAAACTAATTTTGAAAGAAGTAATCAACATCAATCTCGAAGGAAATTTACATAGTACTTTAACAGAAGCGAAAATTTACAAAAAGCAATGCAGAAGTGGGGATAGCACAAAGATATCAATTAATTTTACTGAATTTGAGAATGAAAAACAATCATGAAAAATTACTGAGCGCTTTTGATATCCACCTAAACGGGAAATTAGGTGGCACAATTGCGCCTCTTCACATGAAACAGCATTTTTAAGAGGGTCACAGAAAGTGACCAAAATGTGGACCGGATTTCTGGAACATATCCATCCATCCTATATAGCAGAAATAAACGAAAAAACAAATAAAGTAAATTAATCATCAATGATGGAATGTTTAAATAAATTAATGAAATATATAAATGAGTAAGTGGATAATTTAATGGAAATGATATTGATATTCCGGTTGATAAATGGTCAATTAAACTATGTAGCTATTCCTTACACACTCATCTGGCACTTAATCTTTCCACGAATTAGCTCAGGCATGAAGTTTTGTAAGGTATTGCTTTTAAAATGATGCACTTTGGTGTATTTTAGGCATATCTATTTAATGTATAATGCACATGAAGTTTTACAACCCGTTTACAATGCTAAAAAGTGAGGAATGTCATGAATTGGTTGATGTCTAACACTCTTCCATACTTTTCATTCCCCGATTTAATGTTTCAAATAAAAATTATTGCAATCAATTAGATACTAAATGAAGCAAAAGTTAATGCAGTAAATTGCTCAGCATTAATTAAGTGGTTCGAAAAAATGGGACCGAACTCAACATGAAGGAATTGATGATGAGATACAACTATAATTAATTAATTAATTAACTGACTCGGAACAATAATCACAAGTAAAAAGTAGTAAATGAAATAGGTATTAATGACGAGTTACATTTGTAATTAATCAATTAATTAATTAACGGACATTGGAAACAATAATCACAAGATGAGTAAATGGAATAATCTGGTTTGAAAAGAGAAATGGGAAGAAGAGAATTGTGCGAAAAGTTACTTCTCTTAGCTGACTCTCTTCTAATGACCATCAATTAATTTGTTGTCTTTACCTGATTTCAGATTTTAAAACTCTTTTTGTAAAAAAAGAGCCCATGTGCAAATGGCAGCTACAAATTATCGATCGATTAATACAAACTGTATTCAAAAAAAAAAAACGATGTTATTGAGTTGTAATAATAATCGCTAAAATGTTGAGAAAGATTTTGGATATATATGGCATTCATGGAAATTTTTTCTTTCTTTCCTTTTTTTCAGTACTTATTTGCTTTTATCTAAACTTTTAATTTATTCAATTCTGATATGAATCAAATTTACGTGAATTGTTGTATTTTAACAAAAAAATTGATCTTTTCTTTTTTTTTTGAATACGAAAACTCAAATATTCTTGCATATCATGAAATTAATGCAAGAGATTATTATCATAATTATCATTATTTTATTGATGTCATCATTTCTAGTAGAAGACGATCAGAAACCACGATGTATGTGGTCAATTAAACAACCATTCTTTCTGACTGCTTCATTTACAATAAAGTAATTTGTAAAGATTATGTATAAATGAGCAAAATCTATTTATCTGTTGAACAAATTTAAGATTAAATAATTAAAAATTAGAGAAATATCGATTGATAATATTTTCCGATCCAATCTTTTTCAAGCAATAAATTCAAAGATCTGATTTTCGAAAACAAAAAAGAAGTACACAATCAATGGAGCGTGATTATTCGATTGAAGCCGATACAATAAATCGCAGTTTACTAGACATTAGCCACACTTACACTTTGGATAATGCTATAATTTGTTTACACCAATAGTGGTTTAATTGTTTCACAGTTATTGTCGAGATTACAGCTCACTGCATGCGTTTACAGAAATATTGACATGCGAAAGAAACGACTGGTAAAGATTCGGTAAAGAGAGGTTATTGACTTGAAAAATTAGTTTTGGATGTGCTGTGGGCGGGATTCCTGTTTTCATTGCTTATGCTAGTTTTGTAGTTCGTGCTCCGCTGTTGACACATCGATCAGCTGACGTGGTTGTTAATGGAAGTAGCATTGACGTGATAGCATTCATTTGTTCGCTGCATGCTTGCAGAGATTGGTATGTTGAAGGGACGATGTTAAGGATTCATAAAAGGACAGGATTTCTGAGTTGAACAGATTAATTTCTTACATATAGTTATCCTACTTTTTTTCCCTTTATTCCTCTCTCTCTCTCTCTCTCTCTCTCTCTCTCTCTCTCTCTCTCTCTCTCTCTCTCTCTCTCTCTCTCCCTCTCCCTCATTATATTTATTCGTCAGCTGCTTCCTTTTTCAGACAGATTGATTCATTAGTAATTGGCAGTATTGTAGCGTCCTTTCTCATATGTTAAAGAAATGTTTGAAATTTTCAGTTAGCTAAAATCGAATGCCAAAAGTGAAAGAAAAAGGAAAGATGTCATCGTTGAATCATCTACGCTTACTGCTCAGCAAAGAATTAATTATAATTTGGCGAAGTAAGATATGGAGCATAGTTGAAATAGGCATTCCGCTACTTCTCTCTATACCTCTTGTCATTCTCTTTCTGAAGGTTATTTTCATCATTTGTCATTTCTTTTTAATTTTCATGAAGAATGTTTCAGGAAATTTCTTGAAAAGTATTAATGAAAGGTTGTTCCAACGGTGGTTATTGAGATGGAAAGATATGGATAAATGAATGTAAATAAATCCGAACAAATCAAAGAATTTGGCTGATTTTGCAGGATTAGAGATTTTTTTTTTGAGCATAGAACAGAGCGATAGCATGCATTTGCTTTATGCTATAATTTTTGTGAGAAATTTACATGAAAACAAGAGGAAGAGATGCGCTAATGAATAAGACTGTTTTAGAATTCATCAACTGTCAAACATGAAGCACAATTCTGGGAATCATTTCAAGTGACCGGTGATTGGAGAGATATAGATCGACGTTTGGAAGGTATGCAGACAATTTACAGTTACTGTGGAATACTCAATCGGAGAAATTTAGGACTTGTATTTCCGTAAGTCCATACATTACTTTTTCTCTTTTTTCTCTTTGATATTTCAAGTTGTCTTCGATTTTTTTGTGTCGTAATGGAAAGTAGGTATGTTTTTTTTCTTTTCAGAAGCAATATGGATGAGGAAGAGATTTTGTGGGTAGCTCGCGAAATAGAATTACGTTATTTGATGAAGAATTCAACTTCACATTCACACTCTTACGAGTTGAATGTGAAAATATTTCCAACTGAGACAGCCATGATGGATGCGCTGTTGGATGATTACCGTCATTCTTCCATATGTACTAAATATATTGGTATGTGTTTTAATATTCGATATTAACATACATACAGAAGTATTTATTGAATAAATTCCTTTATGGCAGTTGGTTACTTTCAACTACGAGAAAAAGTCATCGATAGTGCAGTCTAAGAAAACGTGTCGTATTACCTCGTTTCATTATGGGAATCCATCGCATTATGTTAATAATAAAAAAATTTTAAACTATATATGCTGTTCAGTATGGTTACACAATTTTCCTCTATCTGTTCATTAATTCAGATGGTTCCAAAACTCTTTTACATAACTCTTTCATAAGCTATTTAGCGCTTGCTTCAGATTAAATTAGACAGGGACATAAGTTTTATTAGCGAGCAGTAAATTCATTTTTTTATTTTAATAGATAACATATTTTTGAGAAGTGGTGCAGTGAGTATTTGGAAGAAGCAGAAAAATTAGCTTAAACTAACTAGACGAAGGTAAACGACTTAGCAGTACTACAAGATGATGAATGCGGTTATAATGATAAGTAATTCAGAGCGCTGTGCTTCAATTTACGATTGCGTCTCAGTATGACCGATAGTACTGAACTCAATTTTCAGTTGCCAAGCGAAATCATATGAATAATCCAACCTTTTTAAATTATTACGATTTACAGCTGGTATTATATTCAATGAATATAATAGTAGTACATCGCGCCTTTCTTATACTATTCGAATACGTCAAACAAAAAGTCAGCAAACACATTGGTATATTGGTGATGACATTTGGAACACTGGAGGACCATATGGAATTTCAGACTACCAGTTTCCAGTGAATAGGATTCCCAATTACTGGTCTCTTGGTTTCTTATCATTACAATATGCAATCGATACTGTATTCCTTAAGGTTCTGTTCTTCTGCTACTAACTACGATATGAACAACTTTTGAATTATAATTAATATCATTGTAATTGCATTTACCTGTGCTTGTCTTTTTATAACAGCAGTTTTTTAGAAAACGATGCAGTTAATAGAATATACGACAAAACAGTTTTAACGAAACATTAATGATTTCAATATTATCATAACCAGTTGATTTAAAAATTCTCTTGGTATCTGTTTTAACGAAATCCCCAGTTAGATCGACAAAAATTTCTCGTTCAGTAAAGCTTTAATTTTGCAGGGAATTGATGGTGGAAAAAATAACGATAGCAATTTTCAACTTAGTTTAGAACGTATTCCTGAGCCGCCATATTTTGAAAAGTCGATTGCCATTTTCCTTTCCTTTCTGATAGTTTTCTGGAAATTCTTTCTTTTACCGTGTGTTCTGCACACCGTTTCAAATATTTCTTCTGAAAAGCACAGTGGTATGAAGGTAGATTGTTTTCTATTTTCGTTAAAAATTTTGTCCTTATTCTTAATTTCAACTTTCTAAGAAATGTGTATATAATATAAATCTACCAAATCAGTTTGAGAATTGGTAACATTCTTTTTTCATGCTTGGATGTTAGGAGATTGAAAATTTTTTTTAGTGAAAATGTTAGGAAAGTTAGATGAATGGAGGACTAAAAGTATGGAGAATAATGAGGAACTTTTTTCCTCTCATATTTCCTTTTTAGAACCAATTTGAGATATTTAGTAATCTGGAATATTTCGTATTTAATTATTTGATAAGTTGGATAGATTTTTACCGATACAGCATCTACATTTTGTATACAAAGAGTGTCTATGCATGAATGTTAAAACTTTTCCTTATTAAATAAATTTTTTTTCGGTGACTTTAATCCTTCACTTTCAGGCATTTTTAACAATGATGGGCATGCAGCCCTCTACGTTTTACATTGCACATATGGTAATTGCTTTCATCAAAATTATGGTGGTCGTGCTGTCATGTACAATTATGTTACTTCCACAGATTCAGGTCCAATTTGTTTCTTATTTTAATGCTTTCAAGTTTTATTTCATAATCACGTATTCTTTATTACTGCACAATGAGGCTGATGACTTTATTCAACAATTTTATGTATATCCAATTTTTTTAAGACACGAATTTAACAACATAATAATTATCGAAGCTAGTTTATAACTACTGTAAGAAATCTGAGGTGCACATTTATTTGTATTCAGACAGTATCTTCGTGGTTATTTTTGTACACTAACTTTATTTATGGTGCCGGCGCAGCTAGTTTTGCTCTTTTAATGTCTTGCATTTTTCACAGTCCCGGTGCTGCGACGAAAGGAGCTGCTGTCATTTGGTTAGCGACTATTGGTGAGTTACTTTATCCTAAATAATTTCGTTGGAGAGGATGATTGTCTAAGAACTAATGGCATTGTCAGCGGAGTCTCTTTCATCCATTTATTCTGAAATTTTTGCAGGTTTGGCAGGCTTGAAAGAGGCAGAAAGATCTGTTCTTCTAAATATTATACTTTCACTGAATTTAAACCGTGCCTTCAGTTCTGCTTATCAAGCTATGCAGGATTATATGAATCGAGGTAATTGGCTTATCTTTGAACTCCTACAAAATATAGTTTGGGTTTTTTGTGTGAATTGATAGTCGCCAAGTATTGTCAAATCACCGCTATACTGAAGTTTGCAAGCTAGTAGTTGTAATCCCTTCAATAGCTTAACAAGGACATATTTTAACCAAAATAGATGTGATGATGAGCATTTCTTGGAGCTGCTTGCATAGCGCATTTAGTTTTTGGTATATCACACTGCTTTATCTGATCAGTCATTGTGATATCTTCCGTAATAATTCTGTGAAGTATTCGGTTATCTTCACTTCATTGGCCGGTTCCTTAAATTGGTCCAATCTATTAATTTCTCTTTAAATTTTTCTTTGTTTTTTCATTTTTTGCCACTCAATTTTTTCTTGGAGACCGGATTTGTGGACAGAATTTTTTCTCGAAAATTAGTGATTTGTTCGAAGTACCGAATACAATGATTAGCTCTTTTTGTTATGTCTTCTCAGTTCTCATGGTATTTTATCTAATCGATTCTTTTTAAGATGAATACCTGGGTATACATAATATGTTTGAAGACATGACATACATATTTCCGCTTGGAATAGCACTAATAATGATGACACTCGATGTTATATGGATGTCGCTGTTAGCAATTTATTTGGATAATGTCTATCCCTCCGGTAATTTACCACGGAAGGAATGGTTTTTCTTTTTACATGTAAGTTTGAACCAATAATATGAAATCTTTGGTCTAATTATATATAAAGTTAAATATGTGACGTTTATGGTTTTAAGAGCATTACTTGTGAGATAGAGGCTGCGGTTCTTGATTACTATTATTATTAGTAATATTTAAAGTCATAATAAAATAAGCAGAAAATTTAAATGACCAGATGGAATGATACTTTTTTAGAAAACTGGTAAAAATGTTGTTGAATAAATCAAAAGTAAATATTTATGGACGTACAAATATGCTTTTGTATTTTGTTTTTTACAGAGATCGAACAGTGGACGCCAGCAGGGCGCTTTTTATGATTCTTCTGATGCTCCGAATGACAACATTCAAGAACATGAAGGAGACGATCAAGCAGACATCGATATTCGACGCTTGACGAAAACATACGCCGCACAACCGGCTGTTGATCACATGTCTTTTCGTGTTTATCGAGGAGAAGTAATTCTATCTTTTTTGCTAATTTTAGAACCAATAAATTTCACATGCTTTCAGAGAAACCAGAGGCCCTGATGTAATATTAGTTAGTAGCTACTATTTGTCCGCTCATCGTAATTTTTTTCTGAAACTTTGCAAGTACCAAATTTTTGTTGCCTACTTATGCACTATAGTGCAACTCTTCATACTGCAATCGTTTATTTCTGCTCATTCAGAAATCAAGTTTCACTGCAATATTGTTTTTTTTTTCAGATAACCGTTCTTCTGGGACACAATGGTGCCGGAAAAAGTACAACATTTTCTTTGATAGCAGGTCTTATTTCACCAACCTCTGGTTCTATTTACATTTGTGGCAGCAGAATGGGATCACGTTCGATGGACCACTGCCAACGAGAAATCGGTTTCTGCCCTCAGTATAATGCATTATTTAATTTGCTGACAGTGCGCGAGCACTTGGAAATGTTTCGGAAATTCAGTGGCGGGACAGCTGATTGTGCCAGAAAGCTGATGAAGGATATCCAATTGGATGGCGTAGCTAATATGGTATACATCTTATGTCTTTTATTTTATTAATTGTCAAAATGATTAAATGCATATAAATGAATCATAATACATTTCATAACACATTTCTAGAAGCTGGGAAATGGATTGTGATAGACAATTTATATGACAAGATGGGAATAATGAAAAAGAGATTATTTCGAAATTTTTCTTCTTTTGCATTTGAGGTTGCTGGAAAACTAAGCGGCGGAATGAAAAGAAAATTGTGTGTCGGAATATCTTTGGTTGGTGGACGTCGCATTGTAATGTTAGATGAACCCACAGCTGGTATGGATCCAGCTTCTAGGCAAGCTATCTTCCAGTTACTTCAGCGCTATAAACATGAGAGGTAATTTTATTTAATTTTGAAATTTATCTTATTTGTTATAATTTCTCTGTGCTGAATTTTACGTGAACAATGTTGCTTATAACTGAGAGAGATAAGTGATGTGCATTGCAAGTATTTATACTGATTTTTATCAGTTCTTGATAATTAGATCTAGATTTAATTATTCAAAAATAGACACATTTGCTTTCAACGTACTGTGCAAATCTGCTTTAGAACAATTCTTTTAACAACCCATTGTATGGATGAAGCAGATTTACTCGGAGATCGCATAGCAATTATGGCAAAGGGTCGGTTAATCTGTGCTGGTACATCGGAATTCTTGAAAAATCGGTTTGGAACAGGATATTTATTATCGATTGACTTGATCGTGAGTTGCAATTGTAATATTTGATTGTTTTTGGGCTCTATTTGTTTAGAACTTTCAATAACATAATTTGAAGTAGAAATCAAATTTAAATCGAGAGTTCTACCTCGTTTCTGTTATTTTTGATACGTGGCCAAACTTATAAAATCAAAGATACTTATGAAGAAGAAATATTTATTTCCGATAGACATATGTGTCGCTACCACACCATAGATAGGAAAAAGGGATCACACTGATTATGTTTATAAAGCTACAAAAAAGTCATTTTGATCTAGGATATCTTGTGAACTTAATTTGTTTACTCTGGTTTTTTTAGTATTTATTTCTTTTGCAGCCTCGAGGAATTTTTCACCATATTTTTGATCAGAGAGAACAGTTGTTATCAGCTATTAGAAAACATGTTCCGGAAACTGAGGAGCAGTCAGCAACTCCTCAACAGATAACTGTCTTGCTACCCACTGAATGCAAGAAAAGGTTTTTTTTGCTCATTTCTTCTCGTCATTATTTCTTTTTTCGTTTTATCCTTTCATTTTTTAAATTCTTTTTAATAAAGATTTCTAGGAATTGTCTTAATAAAATTATCAATTCTGATTTTTTTCCATGTTATTTTCTTTTTTGGATTGTTATTGTTTTTTTATATGATTGACATTTTAGTTTTCCCAGTCTATTTGTTGATTTGGAACAGAATACTGAGAAGTACGGTATCAATTCATTTGGCTTATCATTAAATACATTGGAGCAGGTTTTCCTAAAGTAATTTTTCTTGGTTTTATTTGACCGTTTTAATTTTATTTAGTTAATGCAATAAATTTTGTATCGGTTGTACATGGTACTTCTCAGATAGTATCGATTGCTCTCTGGTTCGTATAAGTCTATTGAAAAATTTTTAAATTTGCTGGATTCGGGATTTCCATTTTACATTTCAATATGCAGCAGTGAATGGAAAATTGTGATTATTATAAGGATTAAATCCAAAAAATGAAGTTTAATACCATATAATTATGTATACTGTTTTAGAGTCGGAGAACTTGATGATGCTAATTCAACGACTATCGTTGACATGGAAAGTATGGCCAAAGAACAAGCTTCAATTCTTTGTAACAATTCATGTTAGTACTGCTTTTTTTAATTCCGGTGTTAGGAAATTTGGTTTATGTGCGAATGTGAATATATATGGATATATGTTATGTATATTAAATACTTATTTTATCTGAAGCATCAGCATAGTTTGGATAAGCAGAAACGTGAGCGTGTAAAGAGTGAACTTCTGGGACAGATTTTGTTGTTAAATTATTAGGAAGCGAAATTAATCAAAAAAAACATTTTAAGTATTTTAATATTTTAATTTACAGCTATATGAAAGACAAAACTCTTTTATAGTACCAATATAGATATTTTAAAACATGCGTGTTAAATTCATTGATTAAAAAAGTGCTGCTGTTACTTTTACGAAAGAAATCCATAAAAGTACACAACAAAATCAGGAAAGAAAAAATTGGGAGATTGAATTATGGTGAAGCAAACAAGTTTGGCAAGTGAAGTAAGAAATTTCAAATATAAAATTTTGCCCCTTTATTTTCAGCTGTTCATACAGGATTACTATTGTGGCTCTCACAGATTGGCGCATTGCTTAGGAAACGTTTTATATGCTATAAGAAACAATGGTCACGACTTATTTGGCAGATTTTCATTCCTATAGCTATACTCCTACTTGCTGTCTTTTATATGAAAAATTTGTCAACTGGAGATAAGAAGAGACGTGGTAATAATTTTGTATATATCTAAAATATTTATAAAATTCTCAAGTTTGATTTTCTTGGAAGTTTATTTGAATTTGTGGATACAAAAATCAAAAAAGACAGACAGTTTGTCAAATTGAGTGATTTTTGATTGAAGTTTGAATTTACAGAAATTTTGCTGAATGCAGGGCGTATAAGTCCCTGTATTGTGCTTGTACAGCCAGAAAATCCTGAAGTGCTATTCGGTCATAATATTCTACAGATAGTACAAAACATAACCGATTATTCATACAAGATGGTACCGACATCAGAAAGCATGGAACTGACTCTTGTTAAATTACCAAAAGTATTTATTTGTCATATCTGTTTGTAGTAAACTGATATTAATGGCGGTATAACCGTTATTTCTGGCATGTTAGCATTATTAATTTTTCACTGATGCATTGCAATGAATTTAAATGTTCACAACTGTTTAGATACCGCCACCTGTTGGCATAGCTGTCACGTTCAACACAAAAAACGGTTCCATTTATACTACGGCGTTTTTTAATGTTAGAGCTAGATATGGACCGGTTATTGCAACGACACTAATAAGTAATGCAAGATTGGGGCAATCTGCAGGTAATAAATTTCAAGTTTATTTGTTGGAATTCATAATTTAGGCAACATTTATCAATTTTATTTTCGTTACTACAAGATGTTTCTAATTTCTTGCAGATTCGAGCTTGTTTTTAAAACTTTGTATATTCATAAAAACATAAATTAATCTTAGTTTTAGTCTGTCATATCTATTTGATTTTATCCTTTGTATCAGTAGCATTTCAAAAGATATTCGATATTTAATGTAGCATGTTCATTTTTAGATTCCATCAAAATTTCTTTTCTTCCATATGGTAATGTAGATGATATCAGCCAGATGTCAGTGAATGGTCACATGCTTTTAATAGCACCTATTTTGATTATCATTTTTGCTTTCACTTCTTCTGGTTTCGTAACCTATATTGTCGATGATCTTAGCACGAAATTTCTTCATCAGGCAAGCTTTTTTTATAGTTTTAATCAGCGTATGCCTTAAATAGTTAATTCCTTAATCTTTAAAAAAACTTGCAGGATGCAAGAAATAGACAGTGATTATTTTTAAAGGAATGTTTAGGATTTAGTTTAGTCTGTGCAGTCAGCTTGTCTTTATTGCTCATAATAAATATGCAATCTTTTCATTTTGAATCGTATAATAAATCTGTTTAACCGCTTCATGACCTAAACCGTCCGATAAAAAACTGAATTTGGCTATCGGCTAATTATTTAGTGTTAGAAAAATTTTCCGTTATGAAATTTTGAGCATTTAGATACACTTGAAATTTAAAAAAAAATGGCTCTTCAAAATGATTTTTAGTCAATGTTTTTTCTTGAATGTGCTAAATATGGTAAATAAATAACTGAAAGTTGTCGAACGATATTTTTCAGCAACTTCGCGCTCGATTGAACATGTTTACATACTGGTTGTCTGCGATACTCTCGGATTTGATACTCTATGCGTTTGTTTGTACTGCTTTCACTGTTATTTTGAGTGGCTGGTTAGGTAACTTGAAAGTCGAGTAAGTTTTTACATGAATTCGATAAGTCTGTTACAGATTTGAAATGAGATTTATATTTTTGATGTTTAGTGACCGTGGGTTTCTCGATATTAACTTGATTTTATGAAGGCGTAATCAGGGAATTCAGATTTATTCGGAAGTTTTAAGATCACCTGAAATTACCACGACTTAAAATAAATAGCAGTGTCGCCTCGACATTGTTGCTTTTAGGTTATAATTGTTCGCCTGTGTTTCAAACAGTCTAATAATTTTTCCTCTCTCACCTTGGTGATATCCAAATTGAATTTGTGTCGTAATTAACTAGTACTTGAAGTTTACCATATTCAGTTACAGTTTGATATTGCTTTGGCTGATATACTTATGGCCAACATTGCCATTCGTCTACTTAATGGCTTTCCTAACCAATCATCCTGCCCGAGCTTATGCTGTGCTCATTATTATAACATTGGTTGTTGCTCTTTGTGCTAGCTCCATATCCTTCGTTATGGTGTCTATGAAACCGAAGTTATTTCCATATTTACATGTAAGTGGTTTTGTATTTGGAAATTTTTTAGGATTTAACGATTGTCTAATTAAGGATGTTTAATCAGTTGGATTTATGGAGTGAAGGGATGCATTTTAAAATGCTCTATATTAGAATATGAATTCTTCTGCGTAGAGAAAGATACTTAGCAGGAATTGACAGCTGTGTCTTACATACTTCCGGTTATTTCAGATTTCTGATTCACAAATTATTATAGTAAGACTAAATTGATAAGATCATTTTTGAAGAGAAGGTTGAAGTTTATATGTCTAGAAGTGCTTTTAGACTTGTGGATTATATTTCCGTAATTTCTCCGAGCTTATGTTTTCGAGCTTATATTGTGCTCATCATCATAATACTGGTTTTTGCTCTTTGTGCTAACATCATATCCTTTGTTATCATGTCCACGAAGCCAGAGTTATTTCCATATTTGTATTTTTTTTTTGCTTTGGCGAAATAAATTTTATTTCATTGAATTTCAGATAGCATTCTTGTTCACGCTGCCGACGTATGGCTTGTCACACGGTTTGATTGCGATTTTAAGTGCTGATGATGAGAAGGGCACGAGTGGTCTATACAGCTGGGAGGTACTTTTCTCATTTCTGTTGAAAATTTAAGTACTTCAAAAGTGTTAGACTTTTGGAAATTCATTATGTAAAAAAATTGATTTGACATTCTTTTATGTCTCTCTTTTGAGTAGAATAATGCTATCTGTTGTTAAAAATTGCTCTCAATGATTACCTCTAAGTAATGCGAGGATACCATTCAGTAGGTGAACTTATTTTTGGATGCAAAGGAGACGAAACTCTAGTTTATAATATACTTCCATTTAAAAAAACTTGAATAACAATTTCATTCAACTAGTTAGCTAAATTTTTTCAAAGTTTTGAGGGAGTTATGAAATCTGTAAATTGCAGACCGTTTCCAGTATTTCAAGTTTTTAAGGTTATGATTTCACATATTCTGTGGATTTCAGTGTGTGCCATCCCACATCCCATATATGAATTCTTGTTTTAATGGAAATGACAGAATGGTCTGCATAGTTATATCACTGATTTTAGAGAAATATTCACCAGACAAATCTGTACTTTTGTTATTGTGAGAATTAGCAAATGCTAAGAATTATTGAAATATGCTGAATATTTTTTTTCCAGCATATTTCAATTTCTCAGCAGACATTGTTTATATTCTTCATAATATCACTACTGTATAGTGAAATATTTCTATCTTTCAAATTTTATTTAATAAAATATTAACTTTCATTTTTTAGAAACTTGGACGTATTTATGCCATGATGGCTTGTTCGGGATTTTTATTTTGGATTATTTTAATGATAATTAATTTCAAACCTCTGGCAGTGTATGTGCACGATTTGTTGTCGATAATACGACGGAAACCATCAAGTTTATTGGTTTGAATCTTTCATATTTTGGAATTTGAACATATTTTTTGCCATGATGTTATCTTATTTTTTAAAATCTAAAAACACTGTGCTTCCTTTTTCACACTTATGGGAAAGCAAAACGAGGCACCATGTCACAGTTTAGAAGTGCAGTAGCTTGGTAGCATTGAAACCTAGGATGTTCTATTACTTGCTTATTGAAAATACGGTAGTAATTTCTTGCAATGAGGGAATAATTTTTATGAATCTATGGAAATAAAAAGTGTGAGTTGTCATATTTTACGATTAAATTAAACTCCATATCACTGGGGTTTTTAAGTTACAAAAACAATAAACTCTGAATTCATCAGCGTAAAAATTACATTAGGAAGAAAAATTATTCTCCGAAGATAATGCACTGTGGAAATTTGAAAAAGAATTCCATTCTTATAATTTGATCGAAGAGACGAATGGTTGAATTTAATGTTTCTACAAAGACTCCTACGTTTACTTTATCAAGTATTTTAGTATGAAAATAGTTTGGAGGATGTTGATGTAAAGAAAGAACGAGAATGCATATCGCGGAAAAGAAATTTCGAGTTATCGCTTGCTGTTCGTAATTTGAATAAATATTATGGGAATTTGCATGCTGTTCGTGATCTTACGTTTGGTGTCGAGTCTGGTGAATGCTTTGGTCTACTGGGTCTGTTTCATTAAATTTTGTAATTATCTTAGTTACGTAACATATTGGAAGCAACTGAAAAGTCCACTGATTGTTGCCTTCTAATTATCGCCCCCTAACATATCGAATTAATTAGAATTGTTGTCTTCTAGCTTAGCGAATTAATTAGCAATGAATTTTTTTCCTCTTCTTTGAGCAACTTGTTGGTCATGATATGTTGCAGCTCATTTCCACTACTCTTTGCTAAGTAAAAACAGTAATAAAAAAGAGCTAAGAGATCTTCATGTCCGAGTTTATAGTCGCTATAATTTTCAAGTCCCAGATGTGTGGTTTTATAAAATTCCAGGAGTAAATGGTGCGGGTAAAACTTCAACATTTGATATGCTAACAGGTTTATCCATACCGGATGGAGGTGAAGCTTTTATCAATGGTCATTCTGTTTTAAAGAAGCAGGTAAATTTGACAGGACGTAAAAATTTTTTTTTTTTAAATTTTATTTTCAGATTTTAGTACTGTGACGTTAATAATCTTGCCAACGTGGATAATATTCATCACGTCCGTCGTTATAAATTTCATTTTTTCCATGGTAATATGTTTGAAATGAGCATTTTTCAGACTATTGGATTCTGTCCACAATTTGATGCACTTCATCCTAAGCTTACAGCTAGACAGACTCTGCAGCTCTTGGCCTCGATTTATGGCTTTGCTAATTCTGTGAAACGTGTTAAAACCCTTCTTGAAGCAGTATTACTAACAGCGCACGCTGATATTTGCGTCGAGTTTCTTAGGTTATAGCTAACATTATTTAAAGAATATAAATGAAAGTTTTTGTATTTTCGAGGTTTGATGCAGGTTTCATTAGGTTACATGAAAAACTATAACTGGGCATATTATTATTGTCGTTTGGAAACATTCCAAATGTATACAACAGAACAATCAGAATATACAGTTTGATTATTAAAACTCCTTTCGAAAGATGACATCCTGTGCACCGTGGTTCATTGGTCCCTTTTGATATTTTTTAATTATTAGCTGTGTATATTTTTATATTTTAACTATATATTTTATGTGTATATTTTTAACCATCAGCAAATGCTAATGATAGAAAATATCAAAACTGTTCTGCGGAAGCACTTTATGCCTTATGAAATTTTCTTTTTTTCTATTTTTTAGCTTGCATAAACCACTGGACGTTACTCACTGCCCGAACGGCTTGTTATTATTTATTCAAAAAATGGATTGTCTTTTTTTTTGCTTTGACGATTATTATTTTATTGTTTAACTTTTTTTTCATGAAAAATGGCTATTCAGTACTTTTTTCTTTAGTGGTGGGCAGCGGCGGCGCTTAAGTTTAGCAGTGGCATTGATTTCGCAAACTGATTTAATATTGCTGGACGAACCGACTGCTGGAGTTGATCCGAAAGCAAGACGACAGATTTGGAGTTTACTTAATGCAGTGCGTGAAAAGCAGCGAGCCATGCTTCTTACCTCTCATAGCATGGTTGAATGCGAAACACTTTGCAATCGCATTGGCATCATGGATCAGGGCTCTTTGATTGCTATTGGAACACCACAACATATCAAGACAAGGTGATTCAGCTCCTTTTTAAAATCGTACATAATTATACGAAAAAGAAATGAGAAGTGATATTAATTTGCAGAATTTTGCAACCAGTAGCATTACAAAACTTTATTTCCTTTCATTTTATGTATGAAAGAAGGGAAGAGAAATTTGGACCAGAAGAAGAGGAAAAGGAATTTGGACTTCACTATAATTTTTTGTTTATTCAGATTTGGAGAAAAGTACACGTTGATTATAACTACTGCTAATCAGCACAGACGAGAAGATTTAAATTGCTCAGTTAGAGAAATTTTCCCTGGATCCATCGAGAAGGGTGCTCATGGCACATGCTTATTATGGGATATTCCAAGGGGGGAAAATGATAGGTGAGTGATTTTTTCAGAGATTTTACTTTGTTATCAGAATGACAAAACCAGGTAATGTTGAAATGCGTCAAATTTATGTTTTCAGAAGTAATAAATAAACTGTGAATTTGCTCGAAGAGGGTAAATTAATTGGCGAGTGGTAATTTTAAAAATCTTCCGATCCTTACTCCATTTACAGTGAAATAAAAAATTTACTCAGTTTTTGTTTAATTATCAAAGTTTAGATGGTCAGATATGTATCTGAAATTATGCCAACTTGCTACACGGTTTCCATGGATTATTGATTATTCATTGACACAGACAACACTAGAAGGAGCATTTTTGCAACTTTCACAACACGAAAAATGATTTATTGCAAATAAAAATATTGGCTAATTTTTGCTTATATAGTTATTTCTAGTCTATTGGCTGTAAACATGTCACCATTTCAGTTTGCTATACAGTGATACCTGTGCAGCAAATTGAAATAATGATATGTTTCTGTTTCTTCACTTATAAATCGGCTTCTGTAATTTTCATAAAGTAATAGATGTTGTCGCAATCTCAGTGAATTTCTTTAAAATTAACATTCCAACGTTTGTTATTGTATGTGCATGTTATATTACTGGATAAAATTTCAAACTCTTCATTTTTATTAAATCATCATTTATATATTATTTATATATGCCGGGTCATAAGGTATAATTTTTTAGACGCTATTTCTTGAAAGCTTGGATTCAGAAAGTATTATTGGTGTTAGAATTTCGCTTTAAGTTATCATATTTTCTGTGTTATTGCCGTTAAGATTTCGCTTTAATTTGTATTTTCTGAATAGCTTAAACGAATTGTACTTTTATATTTTCCGCAGAAAGTACCTATGATAAAAACTAATGGGTATAAAAGATACATATTAAAATGGTCGAGGAGAGCTTTCATGTAAGATGTCATTTTCTTTAATTATTCACAAAAAATTATTTTCATTTTTATATGACGGACAGTTAACGATCTTCAATCTCGGCAATCAGAAGTTGGAGTCGAGAAAAATTCTACCAATTTTACCAAATTTTACCAAAAAAAAAAAATAATCGAGGCACTGAGGAAAATGTTATTGGGCAAACGGAAGCAAATAAAGAAGTAAACAAATGATATCTTCCGCTCAAGAATTTCCTTCAAAGTCCGGATACGCCAAATTGAGGCTATCGAGCAGTCTCGAAGTCACATATTTGGACTTACTTAATTATATTTTGGGAAGTATGTTCGAAACGGCAGATAGAATTTATTTTCTTTTAATCCCATTATTTTCCATGCAATCCATGGTGTGTTGCAATGATATTTTCAACATTTACAGTTCCATTAGCTTTTTCGGCTGTATCGAATGATATATTCTATCAAGACCATTGCTGTTAACCTTACTTTGTACTTTCGTCTTTTGGCTCTCTTTTCATGATATGCATATCGTTAGGTCAACTACTTCTGCCAATCTTTAACTGTTTCAAAGAAAGATTGCTTCTTTCTTCCCTTCCTTTGCTATGCCTCCACTCTCGTTCTGCAGCTTACATCGGGAACTTTGAATTTCGCAGAGGGAGGCTGGTGCTTTTAAATCTAATTATCGTCATCCAATGCGACAATGCACTGAGGTTGGTCTGATGGTTATGCGCGTGGTTTTTTTTTTCTAACTTTTAGCTGTAGCTTGGTGGCAGTTTATGAGATTTTAGGGAAGAGAAGGAGGAAAATAAAAGGATTGCTGTTCCGTTTGTTTCATTTCATACATCCTTCTTAAACTTGAAAGGTTGGATAAGTTTGCCATATTTCTGAACCTGAATAAAAAATCTACACCTGAGTTACAGGAATGGTGTTGGTTTACTAAAATTACAGGCATAATCCATTAATATGCATTTGAAAGTTTAAAATTTCGTGACGTCGAAAACGTTACGGAATTTTAGCGCTTATATGATACGCTGCCTTTAGTGCCGATTTTTATGTTCATTATCTGTTCGCATAAAGAATTAAAGTATATTGAAGTCTTTGGTCCTAATTTATGCTTATATCAGCCAAAAAAATGGTTCGGCAGAAGCGGAAAACTGAGAACCGAGAGGAAGAGGATCGGCTAGCGAAAAAATTGTTTGGTAGCAGTGCAGGTTTTCCGGACGGTTTTGAGGATAGCAGTGATGACAATAGCGAGTTGGAAGAAACATTTAAAACTGAGGTAGATCGTATGTTTGTTTATTCGATTACATGATCTAGAGTGAAGTGTGGATATTGAATTTAAGCCAACCATCTCATATGGCTTCTAAAGACAACAAAACTTAAAAGACATCTAGCCTAAAGATTTGTTTCAAGAATTTTTTATCGAAGATTTGTAAATTCATTTTCTTATTCGAATTTAATAATAATATACTTTTAGAATTTCTTTATTTGAGAAGACTTGGTCAGAATTCGTTTGGCTATCGTAAAATCTAGAAGTGATGGTAGTCGTATGATATGTAAAAACTTGTTTCAGGAAGAAGCTAGCAAGAAACCCGTTTGGCAGGATGAAGATGATGAAGTTGAAGAGGCAGTTGTGGATGTACCGTTGCATCGTAAAAAAATGCACATTAGAAAAGCAACCGATGCTCTGAATCAAAAAATAACGCCGAAGGTCTTTTTTCTTGTTTTAACAAATATTTATTTAATGGGAAATAAGCCAATCATTATTTCAAGAGCAAGCTAGCGCTGATTAACGAAGACATGATTGCATGGAGGGTTCTTTGTTATTTCTCACTTCATGATTACTACAAAAATTCAGAAATGGCTCATGCTTTTAGAAACTTATTCCACTCATGGTGGAATACTGATATTCTGATATTAAACATTATACTAACAATCTTTCAAACACAATTTACCATCCTTAAATATCCGACAATTCCGGTCTCTGATTAAATTGAATAATGATCACCTACATTATTTCACCAACTTGTAAAAGTGATGTAATCCCTCAAGAAAATGAAAGTATAAATTTTTCAGGAATATGAGGGACGATTACGACAATTATTTTATCACAGCTCTGGTGCTGCTCCAGCCTGGGCTCAGTCTTCCTGTATGTTCCTATTTTGAAATCTAATTTCTCTTAAGATACCTCGTTTTTAATTTTGTTATGCGATTCACTATTTTTAATTCAGAAAATATTTCAGTCTGCGAAAGCAAGAAACTTCAACATGTTGAATGTGATGACGATGAACTGGATGATGCATTACGTGAAGTAACTGCATTTGCAGGAAAATGTGTTGCCAGCAGCAAATCATTACCAAAAGGAGTAATTAGTGTGAAACGATTGAATAATATTATACGTGGACATCGATTTGGAAAGGTTTTCCTCATTTCATATTTTTTTCTTTTTTTGAAATTCGTAAAAATTAAAAATACAGAAGTTATAAAAACTACTTATTTCATTCTGATTTGAAAATGTGATTTTTTAGAAACCGATGAGAGTATTACAATTTCATCCCACTCGTAAGGTCCTTATGTGTGGCGGTGAAAATGGCCTTATCAGTCTTTTCGAGGTATTTTTTTATTTGCGTCTCTATGGTTTGATTTTTCACCATAATGCTGAATTTTGGCGAAACTTTCCTATGAAAGAGTTTAAATCCATTTAATTTAGGTAGGCTTACCAGAAACAGAAGAAGCTTTCCTGCAAAATATTCGTTTCAAGGCATTCCCAATTACCAGTGCTTCCTTTACTGCAGATGGTTCCAAAATAATCGTTGGCTCGAAAAAAAAGGTTCAAGGATTAAAGTATCTCTATTTACTACTTGGACATTCTACTCTTACGAGCATATAGTTTGTGTGATCTATGTATCGATTATTCAAATATAGATATATTATTATACTAAACTTGACTGTACATCATATTGTAATTATGTTAAACAACATTATTGTTGTGCTAATACTATATTTTTGTTAACAAATGATAACTCTAGAAACAATATAAGAAGTGATGTGACTTATGACTCAACATATTTTACAGGATTCTCTCTTTTGCTGCGATCTTCTGGACGGCAGAGTGATACAAATGAGAACTCCGTACGGTACTGATTTCATTTTCTATTTCGTCTTAAAGCTAAAAAAAATTTAAATTCTATGTATAAAAAGTTTTACAGAAATAACAAAAATGCATATGGGATATTTTTCACTGTCGTCTGATGGCAAGTACCTAGCTGTCTTGACGCATAACGAAGTACACATTTTAACTTCAGCGGTATGTTATTAGACTCTTTGCGCTGTAATTGTGGATAACTTGATATGTCAATCATAGATAACTTTTTTTTCTTGATCACTTTAGTGAAAGCTAACCGAGTTTATATTAAGCACGTAACATTTTAGTATGACTAAGTCCCATGGTAAACGAAAGTTTTTTCATAGTAGCAATAAGAATTAAATTGAAAATTAAGTCAGGTAGATCAGTTTAATTCTCAAGAAACGATCCTCACTGTAATTCAAATGAAATAAAAAATCAGAACAAGGAAAAAAATATTTTGGTGAAGGAGGGTAAAATTTTTCCTCGTTTATTCTCTTATTGGCTTATTTTATTTTTTTCTGTCGCTTTTCCCACTTCTTTTTTTGATCTAAAAATGCTGCCTTGCATTTTATTCTAACAAAAACTTTTTGAACTAAGGTTAAATTTCAGTCGTCGGAATATATTGGCGTTCTGACGGCTCCAACAAAAATTGCTTCCGTACAGTTTTCTCCGAATGATTCATCAACCATTTTTGCTCTTGGAGGTAGACTTCATATTTCGTGATTCATAAACTATTTCATACAGAAACTTCACATTAAGAAATGTGAAAGCTTTATTGAGTATACTCAAAAGAATGGTGTTCAGAAAATGGACAAGTATTTATATGGAACATCAGAAAATCAACAGAACAACAAACATTTTATGATGAAGGTTCAGTCAGAGGAACGATAATACGAATAAGTGAAAATGGTCAATACATCGCATGTGGGTAAGTCGCTGAGATTGTCAAATAATAATGAGAATAATATTTTTCTTTAGAACTAACTGGAGAGATTGAGAAGTTCGCATTACTGGTCCGAGATAGGGACATATATTTACAAAACTTAGGTTGAAAACAATTGAATTTTACGATAGCGTTTAATCTTCATGTGAAATTAGATTTGATTCATGGCACTGATAAAAATAAATGAATAAACTGCTGTGTTTCCATAATGCTTTGCTGTCAATTACGGACTGTATCAATTATTTGACCATCTCCATTGCCTTCAGAGCAATTTTAGAAATACATTTTAGATCCAATACAGGAATCGTGAATCTATACGACTCCGCAGATGCCCTGAAAAATTCGTTTCCCAAACCCATAAAAGTATTTGACAATCTTACAACAAGTATTGATTGTATGGCATTTAATACTGATTCGCAAATTCTTTCAGTATCTTCAAGTATAAAAGTAAGTGTCCCATTTAGCAGTATGTTCGAAAATTAAATGAATGCGAGAATTTCCATTTTTCACTTCTATAACTCATAATGTTCAATAAGTGCATGAATTTTAATCGAAAATTGCAGAGCAATTCGATCCGGCTGATGCATGTTGGGAGCCGAACTGTCTATACAAATTTCCCGCCAAGAGATGTGAACCTTGGAAAAGTAACGGTGACTGGTTTTTCACCAAAAAGTGCTTATATGGCTGTTGGTGATAATCGAGGCTTCCTTACCCTGTTTAGACTTTCACATTTCACTGCTTACTGAAGAGAGTCCTTATAAAATAATGTTGACTATGATGATAAAGTAGTAAAACTTTAACAAAGCCTTGAAGTGGCCCAGATGTCAAAAGTAAAAAGGATCAAGGTTATATATGTCGATGGATTAAAAAAATAGAATTGCTTAGCAGCATCTAGCTTCCAAATATCAACGCTGTTTAAAAGTGCTCTGAAATAAGCGAGAGATATTTGTTTCAAGACAAGGCGCGAAAAAATTTGAAGGTTATAGCGATGAAAATTAATCAGTGTAAGAATTGGAAAGCCTTTATTCCAGAAATAACTATTACCTACTTCATTCGTTTAGTGAAAGTAGGTAATCTCTGTTCGAAAAACATTGATGAACATCAGTTATATGCTCTTGACAAGACTTGTTAACGGCATACCACTATCAATACAAAATTTGTGAGGAATACGAATTAACCTCTTTGAAGTAAGAAGCCAACACTGATGCAATAATTATCCTCTTCTTCTCAGTCCTGACGTTATTTGCTAATAGGAAAGTGAAACAAAATTAAAAGTCAATGACTAGAAAAATTGAAAGTTTAAGTATTCGTTTTCATGTATTAAATGCTGCAATATAAAACTTCTCAGAAAGTTGTGCATTTGGTGGGTCGTGCACATCAAAACAGTATATAAGACGGATTTGTTGTACGTGAAAAGTTTCTACACACAACAAACTCTATATGATTCTATCCTTTATAAAATCAAATCTTTACTTCGCAATACAAAGTAAATAACGGAAGGCATAAGCTCAGTAAAAGAATTCCCAGGTTTTCATTTATCTTTGGTTTTCTACTATAATCGACGAATGCAGTATTAATCATGAGGGTGTCTCCTGTCCAGCAGGGATAATGGGGGAGTACTACAACTTGTCATTGGCTACTCTCGCCTCATAATAAGCTTATCAATTTTTTGGAGAGATCGAATGGCTAGCTCGGATAAAAACGAGTAAATTTCACCTATACCACTCAATATTTCTGTGAATAGTTAACAGTGGCCCCCTTTTCGTAAAAAAAAATCAGTCGACATAAAAAAATTTTTTTGAGTATCATCTATGCGGTGTAAATTAACGTGGCGGAAGTGAATACTTTGAGAGTCACACTGCAAAGTAATTGACATTCAACATACATTGAGCAAACTATAACGACGGTTTTACTCTAGGACATGTACAATTAAGGAAAAGTAAAAAGCGATTTTTGATGAATAGGTTCGAAACAGTTTGAGGGATCGATTTTTCAAAATTATCGTATGCAGCGAAAAATCAAAAAGTTGATAGGTGAAAAAGTTGCGAAGATAAGGGAAACAATAATAGCTATTTGGTACCAGAAAACTTCAAGCTAGCAACCGGTGTAATGTCGCCATCTGAGACTCGGTCAAACCTGCACCGCCAACCACAGCTTCAAAAAGACTTTTATCCGCCTGCAAAAAGGATTTTGAATCGCAGATTTACATCTCTTTCATATCTCCCTCTTTTTTTCTACAATTCAACTTGCAAAAATATAAACTCTCGAGATATTGTCAATGTGATCCGTTACAAACAGGTTGATGAAGATCAAACAAATCAATGGGTAAGACTAAAAAACAATTTGATAACTAATATAAAGCTTCATAGTAATTTATATTCTGTAAGGGAGAGAAAAGAGAGCTGGAAGAGATATTAATGTGAAATAAATCAAAGTTTTGAAAATTATTGATAAAACAAATTTAAGAATGTTACCTGCATGAATTTTAGTATGTTAATTAAACGATGTTTGACATTATCTTTATCGGTGGTATTATTAAATGCTCCTTTTTCAAAGGCTTGCACAATAACAGTTAATATTCGAGGAAGATTGGAATTGTTTTCGCCCAAAACCAAGGGATTGTTACTGAAATACAATAAGCTTGGATAATTATTGGATTTTCCCGATATTAGTTTCAACGCTCCTATTTCAGAAATGTATTAAACAATGTATCACCAAAATGAAATACCTTATAGTTAGATAGAAAAAACTTGAGAAATTTTCAAAAGTTCCCGTGCTTTCAAAATCGTACTAAAATGTGAAATCAAATACAGCAGAAAGCTACCTTTCAATAAGATCAGCAAAATACCCGTAAACATGTGGTGCTTCGTCTGGATCATCCCAAGTAGGAAGCCAGCTCAGGAACGTCGGTATGACCTATAGTAAATGAATAAAAAATAACAATCACAAAAGTTTAC